AATTTCGAATATAAGAAGAAGTTTTCCAATTAACAAAAATGTATTACAAAACAACTAAGGAGAAAATTTTCAAAGGAAAATAATAAAGCCCTAAATTCTAAAACAGTGGTTTATATATAAATAACCATCTATGGCCATTGATCGTTGAAAGTTCAAACGAAGAATTTATTGACTTACTATGACACATACAACTTCTCCACCTTCAACGACCTCTTGACGAGCTTGAAAAAGGCTGTTACTAACAAGGAAAGAAAGGAATTTTCGAAGAAGAAATATGGAGCCTATGAAAAGTTTGGAAGGTAGGGCACGTACTGCTTAGACAATATCATAAGAGGATGGAAAGACAACGTGAAAGAAATTTTCACAAGAAGGTGAAGTGAAGAGGGATTAAGGTGTGTTTGGTCTGTGAATATTTGAAGAAGAAATATGGAGCCTATAAAAAGTTTGGAAGGTAGGGCACGTACTGCTTAGACAAAATCATAAGAGGATGGAAAGAGACACCGTATGTGAAAAAAAATTTCACAAGAAGGTGAAGTGAAGAAGGATTAAGGTGTGTCTTGTCTGTGAAGTGTTAAAGCAACGATGACATGAATGTGTTGACGATAACACGATGGCAGCAACCACAAAGAAAAACGTAACTGTCACGAATGACTATGCCACAATTACGATTGCTTGCTAAATTTAATAATTTTAATTTGTTTTTTCGAATATTTAGTTGCTTTTTAGAATTTCATAATTAATATGTAATGTCCACCTTTGCTTTTACTTTCACATGTTTGTAGCTTTGCTTTTCCTTCTGTATGTTTGATGCCGAATTTTATTTCATTGACTTATAATTTGGCCTGGGAAAAAAACCGATAATCGAATAACCAACCGAACCGAACTGAACCGAACCGAACCAAAGTTTTCAAAATAACCGAATGGTTAGTAAAATCTCCTATACAACTAACCGAAACCTAACCAAACCAATAACCAAACGGCTAACCGAAATATCTAAAAATTTAGAAAATATCCAAAAATAATACCTAAAACTATGATTATAAACTCAAATAATAATTATTTTTAGAATCAAAACAATCAAATACTTTTAGTAATCAACATATCCAAATGTTAATAGTTATATTTGTCAAACTTAAATACTCTCTTACAAAATTGAACCAAATTTTAATTTTCTTTCTAATTTTTTCTTTTTTATTGTATTTTCTTCGGTTAATTTTGGTTAATTTCGGTTATATTTGGTTAATTTTGGTTGGGTAAAAACCAAACCGAACCTTTAAAAATTTTGGTAAGTTATAGATATCTATCTAAACATCTGAACCAAACCAAACAAAAAGGTAACCGAACTGATCCGATATGAACTGAAATTCCTAAAATACCCAAATAGTTATTATATTACCATATATCTGAACTAACCGAAACCATTGGCGGACCCATGTGGGAGAAAGGTGGGTCAGATGACCCCCCTTAAATATATAGATTAAACATTTAACTAAGGAATTATGATGTTTTGTTGGCTGAATTGGTTAGTTATTAATGTCTTGACCCACCTAAACCCACGTTCAATTCTCCCTTGCTCCCATTATTTCTCCTATTTTTTTTATTGGGCCATAGCCCATTATTTAAACTTTGGCAATAATTGTTTTGAAAGTAAATAAATTACTTATTTTCACTTGTTTTCTCTAGTCTCCATTTCAATTTGTTTGCAAATTAAGTATATAACTTTGTAAACAAATAAAAATGATAAAAAAATGTCTTAAATGTAGTTTGAAAAATTTATTCAAGTATATATTTTATATGAAGTGCAAAAATATTTTAAAACATATATTGATTTTTTTTATAAGTTGACCCAGGTAAAAAATATTTCTGGGTCCGCCACTGACCGAAACCAATCGCAACCGAACCAAAACCTAACGGTTAACCGAATGCACATGCTTAACTTATATAATAAGTAATGTCCTACTTTGTTTTTACTTCATATTTGTAGCTTGGTGCCAATTCCCATTTCATTGACTTCACATGATTGGTGTAAGTTAAGAATAAAGAGTCTTAATGTATCCGAAAAATTATTGAAACCAAGATTGTCTAATAGAAAAAGTAGCATATAATCATTTTAAATGAAAAATATTAATTTAATAATTAATCTCATTACAAAAATGAGAAAATTTATTGAGCTTTAAAAAAAGGAAACAAAAAACATTCACATTTACAAATTAAAAAGGAAAACTATTGTAAATTCGTGGTTTAACACAATGACAATTGATATATTAAAACAATCGATAAAAGTCGAAGCTATAAGCTCTTCAGACCGTCGTGGGATTTAAAACTACCAATCGTGACTAGCCATATCCATTATTAACATTTTTAGCCATCACGTTAATTAATATTTTTAAATGCTAATATTTTCTATACTAAAATATTAATAAAAAGGAGAAAGAGATGTTGATTTCATTTTTGAAATTAACAACATATAGAAATAAGACAAATGTAAAGTATAGATTTCAATATTATCTTTAGTCACATTTTACCAAAATTTATTTTATTAATAAATGTTGATGCAATATTTTCGAAATTAAAAGGTCATATAAAAAGATCGATTAATATCTTTTAAGAAATAGAAAGATTTTTTCTTGAAATTTTAAGAAGATAGTGATTAAAAATATTAAAAATGTTTTATTTTCTTTATTTGTACTTAACTTTTATCGAAAAATATTAATCCCGAAATCTTTGACCGCCTCTTTTTTCAGACCATGTATCTTTCATAAAATTAAGGAAATAGTTTTTTAAATAAGCTGATAATGATGTGTATATATAGAAAAATAATTATTTTTTTCTTATTATATAAAGTATGGTTTTCAAAGTTAATAACTCACGAGATCGTGACACATGTCAAAATTTTCGATCTGAGATTTTGACATGTGTTAAATAAATTTTTCCTTTTAAAAAGAAAGAAAAAGTAGAAAAATAATTATTAAAAAAAATTATAAATTTAAACAGTTTTAAAATGTAAATAGCTAATTATAAGGAAATTGTACATATATTTCCATAAGAGTGTATATATATGGTCGTTTAAAAGCTTAGGTGGACGGTCTCAGAAGCTTATAGTCTCTACTTTTATATAGTATAGATTTTGTCAAAAATATGCTAACTTTCCACAACCCGAAACTTATGGTTGTAGGTATTTTTAATTTACGTTTGTACAACCCAAAAATATATACAAAGAAACATGAAAATAGTTGTAGACTTGAAAAACGGACATATATTATCTGCATATACTGTGATTCGATATTTTAAAAACGGACATATATTATCCAATTGACGAAAATGTGTGTTCAACGTTCTACATCAATTAAAATATTTAGACAATGATTCAGAATCATATCATAAATAAGAACATTAATAAAATAAATGAGTTTTTTGGCGGGATGGGTTTGGCGGGACGGGTTTTTGAATCAACAATAATAAAAAGATTAAAATATCATTAATCCGTCGCTTCAATACGAATTTAATCCTTATTTTTTTTAATACAAATCACAGGACGGGTTAAGAAATTACGGAACGGGTTATATTTCGGAAATGATTTATACGGCGGACGAATTTGAATCAATATTTATATACCGCTTTAATACGGGTTAAATCCTCAGTTTATTAATAATTATCTCGTGGACTCGTGGTATACCGTTACTTAATAACAATTGTAAACTATATTATAAATAAATATGTTATAAGGAGATACAATTTACAAAATATTTTTATACTAACTTTAAAATTAAATCATCCCGCGGTGTACCGCGGGTTAAAATCTAGTTAGTTGTATAAAATCATAATTAAACAATTTGAGAGGCAAATAGCTTCAACTTTTAGATAAATAAATCTTTATTGTTTTTATGTTACCAATCGGACTTGACTTTCTATTAAAAATAACAATTAAGTTATCCATATATTTAAGAGCATCCTCAACGAGACTTCTTAACATAATACATCATAGGCTCTTATTATTTTTAATCAAAAAATAATGAAGAAAGGCCAAACAGTATAAGAAGCGAGTCTTAAGTTTAACTTTTTCAAAATCAAATTAAACAATTCATAAGAGCCTCAACTTAGTACCCCATGGTTGGAGATGGTCTAAGTCTTTTGTGGAAGCCTTCTATGGAAGCCTTCTAACACAATGGACAAGGTTCAAAGGTTTTCGTGCAAATTATTGGATGCAAAATTTATTGAAGATCCTAGAGTGATGCATGTAGGAGGGTCCATCTCAAGGATGTCATACATGCAGAACCAACATCAGTCGTAGATTCAAATGTACGGGAGAGCTGCATGATATTGTTGTTTGTGGAAACTATTAATCTTAATCACATACGCTATAAATAGATAAAAATTATGATAATAGTATTAAGTTAAATATCAAGAATCTTACCCAAGGGATACTGAATCTCAAGCTTCCCGACCCTTATCCGACCTTGAGGGTCACCCCAATCCTTGCTTTGTGAGTTTCTTGGAACATTTGGTTAAGGATTCGTTTTCAACGTCACAAGATCAAGTGATCGTGACTATTCATCAATTCCCCGAAGCATTCGCGGAAGTGATTTCAACTTACCTTTGGATCGCTTGTGGCAAGTCACTTGGTTGTTCTTGTGTCCAAGGCCTTATGGTTTTCATGTTGAATTATGGTTTTAAACCTATCTATCCTTCTCTTGCAAATTTGATCTTTGTTATGTTTATTGTATCCAACCAAGAGGTTAAAGACTTTGTAAGCTTTACGCCCTTTTGGGAATGAATGAAATCAACTACCTTTGCACAAAAAAAAAAGTATTAAGTTAAATATCCTTGATGATAATGTAATAGATGCAAATAAAAGTATTCCAAAGAAAAATAGGATGCCAAAAAGGAGAACAAATGCTTTTTTTTTTCATTTAAACGAGAACAAATATTAATAAAATATATATTGATAAATTTATCACTTTTCGAAAATATAGAAGTTAAATTGAAATATCCATCAATATAGTGGGAGGATCAAATTAAATGAGAGTAACAACTAACTACTCCTTTCTTCTATAGTCTCACATCCACATTTCATCAGATACGATTTGTTCTCTATATAAACTCTACATCACCCATCTCCTTTTGGAAACCAACAAAAAAACCGGAACTAGCTAATAGATATATATGGCTGGTCTTATGAAGTTGGAATGCTTGGTCTTCGTCTACATGATTGCGGCGTGTCCAATCACAGCAAAGGCGGCTCTGAGCTGTGGCGAAGTTAACAGCAATTTGAAACCATGCACTGGCTACTTGACCAATGGTGGTATCACTAGCCCAGGCCCACAGTGCTGCAACGGCGTTAGAAAGCTTAACGGCATGGTCCTTACAACCCTAGACCGTCGGCAAGCTTGCCGTTGCATTAAAAATGCTGCTAGAGCCATTGGTCCTGCTCTCAACGCTGAACGAGCTGCTGCGATTCCTAGGAGATGCGGAGTCAGAATACCTTACAATACCAAAATCAGGACCACCACCAGGTGCAACACGTATGTTACCGTCTTAATCTATAGAAGGCCCTTGGTAAAATAAAAAAAAAATAAAAAAACTTTCTTAACAAAAAATTTTTCTTAAAAAAATTGAACCCTTTTTCTTCACTAAACTTTTTTAAATGGCTTTGGACCCATGACAAATGCCTATGTTGCCATGGGGTAGAGACGAGCATTGTTAATCTCTTTCTCATATATATAAGGACAAAATTTTGCCAAAATAGGAATATGCGCATGCAAAAGGAAGTATCGAAACCATAATTAATCATAAAATTGGAAACTTGTATTAACGGTGTTATGTTTAATTGTATGTGGCTGCAGCGTGAGGTGAGCGGCGGTCAGATACTCAGATGAAACTACTAGCGGATATATATTTTCTTGTTCAGAAATTCGTTACTAATCAGAAGGTAAATAAAATGGCCCAGTATTGGACCAATTAATTGGACATAAATCGGACAGTACTCGAGGATTAGTTATTTTCTATAAATTTTACCTAAATACATGTTTATATAATATTTGTAAGAAATCATATGTCAATGAAATTACATGGTCTGGTTGTTAAATTTAATGGATAACTTTCAGCCTCAAGTTGAGAGCTTGGATTTATTTGGATCTATTTTTCCTCGTTTTAACGACTTTGATTTAATGAGTGATAAAATTACTTTTTGTCCCTTTCACTTCCTAGCTCGTCCTAAAGATTAATGACATTTTGTTCTTGTTGTCCTCTTGAAGACCATGATCTAAATTTACTGACACATAGTGGATACAACTACGAATAAAGTTTAGGATTATTACTGTGAACAAGATATAAAAAAAAGTTTCTAAGGAAAAAAGTATTATACAAAAGGGGAGACTTTATTTATTAAAAGCACGCAATGGATTAAAAAGACTCAAACACTCTTAAATTTTTTCTCTCTCACTTATCTTTGTTCTAACATTACATCAAGCTTAGGTATTTATAGCACAAAGCTTAGAGAATATTACCTAAAATCATGATCATCCAATCTACAGAGTCGAAGGTAAAAAGTATAAAATCAAAAGATATATTCAAGGACAAAAAATCTATGTGACGGAAGTAGCCTCTGACAGTGAAGAAGACGACATAAGGCAAACATCACTTCTCTTTTTGAAACAAGAGGAATAATATCAAAGATATTTTGTGGTTATGAGTGTATTGAATAAAGTTATGGTTATGAGTATGTAGAATAAAGTTATGGTTGTAAAATAAGTTTGTAAAATATTTTAAAGAATATTTTAGGTAATATTCCCTAGGCTTTGTTCTATAAATACCTAAGCTTGGTAAAGTGTTAAACCAAACTAAGTGAGTGAGAAAGAACCTAAGAGAGTTTGAAAGTCTTTGTAATCCTTTGAGTGTTTTTGATAAGTAAAATCTTCCCCTTTTTATAAGAAAGTACATTCCTTTTTTGGACCGATTGGAAGGAGTTGTAAATGCTGTAGAAAAACAATTTTTATTTCCATAGCCATATAGTAATTCAATCACTCATTGACTTAAAAAAACAAGCTATAGGCAACAAAAAAGAAAAGAAAATATATGGACTGTTGAAATCAAATTTTCTACGGCACAGAAAAATGAGATTTCTGAGATTGTATTATATTAAAAATATATTATTTCGGGGTGTACCGCGAGTCATATCCTAATTATAAATAAATAAAAGGATAATATTATTGAATAGCCAAAAAAAACACTGAAATTAAGAAAATAGCAGAGAGAAATTTTTTTGTTGCAAAATAGTCATAGTCCCACGTTGTCAGATGAAGTGAAATACCAAAACTATCATTTGTTTGTTGCGAGATCAACGATATGCGAGATAGTTTCGTGAGATTTTTCAAAATAGCATGTAACATTTAAATTTTACATGTTATATTTAACTTAAGGATATGATATTTCAAAAAACATAGTGAACTTTAAAAAAAAACATTGTTTTGTAATATTTTTTAAGAAAAAACATTGTTATGAAAAATTTAATCTGAATAGAATCTTTTTAAAAAGAATTCACATGTAATCTTCATAAAAATCATATATTACTAAAAAATACTCATCTTTTTTAAAAGAAATCATATGTGATCTTAATAAAACACGTGTATTATTACAAAATAACATGATAAAGAGAGATATTAAACTGAATAAAATGTTTTTTCCAAGAAATACCATGTGTTCTTTATAAATAACGTGTAATACGAGAAAAATACATGATAAAAAGAGATATATTATGCTATCACATGTAATTCGAAAAAAAAGCATGTTAAAAGCAAATTTACGTAATTACATATGCATTCCGGCATGTTACCGACAAGTTACTGTATCTCATAGTTAGTTTGTATATTTTTTTTGAATCCATGATTACTTTGTATAGATTCCCGAAAAAAAAACAAATCAATCACCATCAGTGAGGAGAGCACTACAAAAAAAGTGTACATTGATAGCACTATGTGATAGCACGGATTTCCTAATTGCTATTAAAGATGGTATCTGGAATTTTGTAACTATATCACAGCGTTTCAAAAACGCTAAGACAAATAATAGCAAAGCGGGAAGTAAAAATACTTATGACCGCCAACAATTTCCCAAAATATTAGATTTAACGCCCACCACTTAACAAAAAAAAAAAAACAAAAACTCGTTTAACCTAGTTCATAACACTCAACTTCTAATTTTTTGTTCTAAGTCTTTTTACTCGTCTTCTTCTTTTCTAAAAAAGTTCTCTCATCTCTAGATCCACACCACCGCCTAGCCACATACCTTCTCCGTTGACATGGCCTCGTCTCCTCCGTCTTCCACCGTTAAAGGTACTAGCCTATTCCTCCTCGTCTTCTCTCCACATCTTCTTCTCCTCCCTCCCTTCTCTTCTTCACTTCTTGATGAAATTAAGCCTTATGGATTGAATTGATGTGTCAAGGAGATGAATTCGCACAAGATGAATTGAATCGGTAAGGAGATCGGAAACCAGATGATGGTGACAAGAAGGAGAAGAAGTTCGAACGAGTCTCACCACCTGCTCGTGTTGGGAGGAAGCAACGGAAGCAGAAAGGACTTGAAGCGGCGGCTAAACTGAAGCGATCACTACATAAATGATTGGGTCATGACCCTCTATTTCCTTGATTCGAGTAAGTTCCTTCATCTTCCCGCAGACTCAATGACTCCTCCACTGTTCGTAGATCTCCCGTCTTCGTTGTCCAGGAAGTTGTCAAGGAGATGAAATCCACCAATAGCCTAGTATGCTTCCACTTTCTCGTCTCTCATGCTTGTAAATTTATGCGTGCTTTGATTTGTTGTTTTGAAATTGATTTTATTCACTGTATTTCTAAGGGGTTACGTTTTTAGAGTTCTCTGTGCATACAAGGTGTTCGACGAATTGACTGTGAGACAAACTAAGAAACGACTCTCTCAACATGTCTTCCTATGATGATCTTTCATGTTTGCTAATTGAGTGTAAAAATTTGACCTTTGCTTTTGTAGTCTAAAATGGTGGACTATATCCTTGGAGTCTCTAATCCTATGAAATGACACTTTGAGGTGAGCAATATTTTTTGACTGTAATTCTTAGTTCATTAGCTATTTAAAGCCCACAGATTTTAACTAATATTTTCTTATTGTGTGACCAAGAATCTGAAAATTAATTCAAATCACTATGCTTCATGGATGGTTCACTTGGTTGAGCCAGGCTAGTATACTTCTCTCAATATTCTATATTCTTGCAATGCTTATACGGCTTAGACAAATATTGAACGTGCCATAAGCTGATGATGATGTCTCTATGTTCTTGAGTGTTGTGTTTGTTTTGTGGGTTATAAACAAATCAAAAGCTGTCTCCAGAAAGTCAAACCATTTCGTTTAGATACACCACTTGAATATAGAAAGTGCATCATCTGTCAATTAAGTTCAGATTTGGTTTCATTTTTCTAGTCCAAATCACTTATTTGTAGAAACCAATGTTTAGATTGGTGATAAAACAGATTTGTTTCTTAAGCATTAATTAATGTTTATGTGTTTGTTTGTTTGTTTGTTTGACAGGATGAATATAAGGCAAAAGATTAGATCAAAATTTGTTCACGAGGTACTTCTAACACTAATTAAGTTTCTTAATTTAACATTGTATCTTCTTCGCATGACATGTACATTTGAATTTTAGTGCTTGGTTTGGTTAATTTCTCCGTTTGATATTATGGATTTTTTGTGGATGACTTGATGGTTAGCAAAATAAAGAACAAGGAAGGATAATTCAGGTGCTTTTGATATTTCTAACATCTTAATTAGTTTTATATTTTGATAAAAACATAGGTTGTCTTTTGTAGTTATGTATTCTCTTTGTGATATGAAGAGATCAGTTTATAAGACAAGTGGAAATAATGTTAATACTCTGCTGCTCCAAATACCTTTGCTTTAATGTTATTACAGATAGCTGAGCAGAATATACAAGAACAGGTAGTGGAAATCAATTCTTCTTCATCTTTAGGAGCTGTTAAGAAAGAGGTGGGACATGTTGAGGACGAATGCTTTTTTCTTAAGAATATAAGAATATAAATACCTTGCTTTTTTCTTTTCTTTATTCTGATGATTTTAAAACTGTTGTGTTTTCTATGGTGTGGTGTGTTTACTATGGTGTGGTGTGTTTATCGTTATTTGGTTTATATACATGGATTAGTTTAGCATCCTCTTTGTTTAATATTATTACCATGAGCTTCATCACCACTATTGAGTTTGAATCTCTTTACCATGTAAAAAAAATTAGAGACTGATATATGTATGAGTTATCTCTTTATTTTCTTTTAGATGTCTCTCTGAATTTGTTAAATTTTTGGCGTTTGATGCAGCATTGATTTTAAGATAAAAACTATTGAGGAAACAAGATTGAAGACTGTGATATATGTTGATGCTTTTGTACACATGATTACAGAGATTATGGACGGGGATGATATGGGAAGGCGAAACATATAAAGGAGATGTTAGCTTTATTTTGTTTAAAACTTTGTATGATGTTATGTAAAAAATGGATAATGTAGTAATACTTTTATGTATTTTGATGATTTATGAAAAAATAAAATTTATATTATAAATCCAATTAAATTTATTTTGCAAAACAGGATTTAAATATAAATCAAATTAAATATATATATATATATATATATATCAAATAGAAATATGCTACAATACAATATAAAATAACACTAAATGTGTGCTATAATATGGTATATTGCAGCATTCTATTACCGCTATAATTGAACGATCTATAATAGCACGTCAGAAAACGCTATCGTATGAGTGTCCTCTACCATAGCTGCCGAGAACATAGCGTTTGTGAATTCGCTATCTATAACGTAAGATAGCATATTTTTAGCGCTAACAATGAACAAATTTCTTGTAGTGGAGTTAGACAGCTAGACTATTAGTTTGTAATTTAAAAAATTTATTGTCATGACGAGAATTTGGATTAGTTAGGTTGTCAATCCAATCATGTGGACTCCTGATCAAGGAAGCAGCATCGCCACTGAAGTCGACGATATATGAGACAAGAATCAATTAATTGATAATATATAAATGTGGTGGAAATTTCAGAAGAAGAGATAAGACTTAACGACTTTTACTCAATGCATCCAGCGTGACTTAGAAGACTTCGTAGAAAGACTAGTCAAGCTTATCGGGTGTATCTTCGTTATGTATAGAAAGAGATGAACATGAAACCAGGTTACGTACTGACTTGCAAAAGTCGTAATGGAAGTATATAGTCAGAATGTTCTAACCGAGTTTATGTGATATGCAAGTCATATTTTATAATACGATTGTAGAATATTTATGAGCTCCCATGATTTTCAAACCATATCTCGTTCTTAGGCCAAGGAAGTTTGACGCAAAAACAGGTGTATGATGCCTTTAGATGTTCTGGGCCGCACACGCACTACACTGATGTAAAATGAGTTCATACCTTAATCGACACGTCCGAGTAATCTTTGAAATTTCTTGGTGATGGGGATAGATCATTATAATTAATGTTCTTCAACGAGGAATTCCTAGTAAGCAAGAGTCATCAAATCGTTTTGATTACGTCCTTGCCCTTTGTATACACCGTCCATCTCTCCTACCGATTGAATGATGTGGTGAAGTGTTTAAATCACGGTAACGTGGGTGGTTCACCACCCACAATGTCGCGAAAAGTCCACAAACCTTATCATTTAGATGAAAGAGAAGTCGTAATTTCCATAGGTGGGCTGGTTTCTTAGCCGATATCGTGCCCATCTAATCCGTTGTTTCGCATAACATCCCGGTCGGGAGCTCTATTTCGGTCTGGCCGAACGTTTAGTTTCTGATATTACAAAACCCCCATAAAAAGTGTCAAAAAACATGCAAACGTATGGCTGGCATTCGCCTCTCCGGAAACTATGTGTGCGCAGATGTTTTGCTGCGATCTAAAGTCTAAAACTACTCGTGGCAACCGATATTTCGGCTCTCGTATCAATGAACAACATAGCGAAATGTGATACTCGGTGTGTATTTCAAAATCCCTTGAACCATCGATCGAGTCTTTGAACATAAATTACACCCAAACCTTCTGGCAAAGGGCATATCTGTTTGGGTGTCACAAATCACTGTCCCCCACTATCCTTTGTGGATACGGGATGGAAGCTGGTCTCCCTTGTATTACCGCACGTGGTTGACCAAGGCAAGGAAGTCTTAAGTGTTCCCACATGCAGTGGGTGAACTTGGCCCATTTTCTTAACAAGGTTTTATATCTAAATGTTCTTAATGATAAAAATCGTCATGATTTATTTCTGAATCAATTACGGATTTGTCATTTTTTTAATGATATTTCTGGATTTTGCCATTTTTGAATAGTTTGTGGATTTTGCCTTTTTTCAGACTACAAAAATATGATGTAACATGCGTTTACCCGTTATGTTTGGGTTAAGTCGGTTTCATTTATTCATAGGATTTAGTATTTGGTATAAAGTACATGTTTTGCAGAAAAAACCGTAAATACGTACATTTTTAAATATTAAAAATAGCAAATTCATAAGATTTTAGTAAAGATGGCATTTTCAAAAGATTTTGATGCAAAAGGGTAAAATCAACAATAATCCCTTTAATGTAGGTCAAGGTGTTTCAAGTTAATATAAAAGTAGGTTGGACAGAGATGTCCTGGAAGATGAGTTTTATACTCCCTTTGTTTCAAAATGTAAGATGTTTTGGCTAAAAGCACAAAGTTTCATAAACTAATTAATCTGATTTGTTTTTATATTTTCTACATTAAGAACATAATTTAATATTTTATTAAATAAAATTTGGCCAATGAAAATTTATACTACATAATATAAATAGTCACAAATGTATATAAATTTAATTTTTGCATAGAAACTTGAACATTTTTGTCCTAAACATCTTATATTGTGAAACAAAATAAAAAACTAAAACATCTTATAATATGAAATAATTGATAACTTGGAAAACTTTTGAATATGTAATAGCCTTGATATCCAGCTAAGTGATTGTTTGTTGGACACATCGATATATTTTTTCTCTTGACTGTGTTAAGTAAACTCGGGCCATGGATTTTTTGCGCAGTAGTTAAGGATACAAGAAAGTTATGGATAGTAGTTTGGGCTACAGGTAGGAATCCAGATGTACTATATAAATTCAATTATGATCACTTTTTACTTTCTACATCTATCCAATTTACTATGTACTCTACTTATTCTTCTTAATTTCGCCCAAACTATTAATCCTATCCAATTAACCAAATTCATTTAATCTTCGTAATTACGATTTAAAATGAATCTCGCGTTTACTATTTCGAGATTTGAATATACCCGACTATTTCGAGATTTGAGTATACCCGAATATAAAATATTTCCAACATGTCAACAATACATTTAAAAGCTTTGGTGCAGTAGTTACATTTTTGTACTATCACGTACGTAGAGACTAATATGTTGTTAATTATAAATATAGGATTTTTAGTATTTTCTGGTAAAAAACAAGAATAATGGATTACAAAACTGGTGTAGAATATTCCAGAAGAAGAAAAAGAGTATCTTCAACTTTGAAGAAGTAGAATAGTAGCTTGGATAGGAAGCAAACTTATTATGCCCTAAAGGCTAAAGTCTACAACATTGAACATTACTTTTACTTCTTTTTTACTTGCCTAAGAAATATGGCCAAAATATTTTTAAAAAAAGAAACAAAATAATAACAGATGAGCAAAGTATTTATATATTGACTATTCAAAGCTGCAACGTTATTTGCATTAACTAAAAAAAGAAGTTAAGGTTTTCTTTTTAATAACAAACGAAGACCCAAATTAATCTACGATATTACATTATTACTCTATCGGTCTTGAACAGTTTCATTCGCTCATCTGGATGAAAGTCAATAAAAGGATATATGAAACCACTAAAATCAACAAAAACGATGTTATCCAGACAAAAATCAATTGATAATAATATCTATCCCTGTCTTGTTTTAATGCTACAACGACCTTTGGATAACAAAAATGTGGTGGAGATTTCAGATGGCTCTCTAATGTGGTGGCAAATTTCATATGCCTCTGGACTGTTCTTCTGGAAAAATATAAAATTTGAATCATTACCAACAAAGTCCACAATGAATAAAAATGGTGGAGACTTTTACACAATGCGTCCAACGTGAAGAAGACTTGGTAGAAAGACTGGTTTATCTCTATTCTGTATATAAAGACTTGAATATGAAACCATGTTATCATCACAATTTCCATTTCTTGCTTTTTCATTATTGATATTCAAGAAAGTAAGAAAAAGAAGAAAAAAAAAACACTTAGAAAAAAAAAAGATGAAAGGCTCTATAACTCTTTCTTTTCTCATCATTTTTATTTTTCATTTTCTTGACGTGTTTGCGGCTCCTAGCAGACACTTGTGTAATCCTGATCAAAGGGATGCAATTCTCGAGTTCAAGAACGAGTTTGAAACTTTGGAGGCCTCTTGTTTTGACAGCATTCCTCCGAAGACGGAATCATGGACGAATAACAGCGATTGTTGTTATTGGGACGGTATCAAATGTGATGCCAAGTTCGGGGATGTGGTCGAGCTAGATCTTAGCTTCAGTTGCCTAAGTGGCCAGCTCAATTCCAATAGTAGTCTTTTTAGTCTTCCACAACTTCGTTCTCTAACCACTCTTGACCTTTCTAATAATGATTTTATTGGTAAAATCCCATCTTCACTTGAAACCCTCTCTAATCTCACCACTCTAGACATTTCTAGAAATCATTTCAATGGTAGGGTTCCTTCTTCACTTGGAAACCTTTCTCATCTCACCTTTCTTGACTTCTCTCATAACAACTTTAGTGGTCAAATCCCATCTTCACTTGGACATCTTTCGCATCTAAAATCTTTCAACCTCTCTTTTAACAATTTCAGTGGTAGGATTCCTTCTTCGATTGGAAATCTTTCTAGTCTTACCAATCTCTGCCTCACTCGTAACAGTTTTGATGGTGAACTTCCATCTTCACTTGGAAGTCTTTTGCATCTCACCTTTCTCATCCTTGATCGTAACCGTTTTTCCGGTGAAATCCCATCTTCACTTGGAAATCTTACGCATCTCACCTCTCTCAACTTCCATCATAACAACGTTTTTGGTAAAATTCCATCTTCACTTGGAAAACTTTCTCATCTCTCATATCTTGTCCTCTCTGTTAACAATTTTGTTGGTGAAATCCCATCTTCTTTTGGTAATTTAAACGAATTAGCAATATTCGTCGTTGATTACAACAGCCTTAGTGGTAGCCTCCCCCTTGCACTACTAAACCTAACAAAACTGTCAAAATTATCTCTTATTTACAATCATTTTACTGGCACTCTTCCTTCTAACATGAGCTCACTCTCCAACTTGGAGTTGTTTGATGCAACAGAAAATGATTTCACTGGAACTCTCCCTTCTTCTCTCTTCACCATTTCATCTTTGGAAACTATTAGTTTGGTAAATAACCAACTCAACGGCACTCTTGAGTTTGGGGATATATCTTTACCATCTAATCTAACAGTCTTACGGCTTGGCAATAACAACTTTAGAGGGCCAATCCATAAATCTATTTCCAAATTAGTTAACCTTAAGGAGCTTGACATTTCCAATTGCAACACCCAAGGCTTAGTTGACTTTACTATCTTCTCGCAGCTTAAGTCGCTCGAACATCTCTACCTCTCCCATTTGAACACCACCACTACGATTGACTTGAATGCAATCTTATCAAGTTTGCAGTTACTAGATTCACTGGATCTCTCAGGCAACCATGTTTCTACTACAAACAAGAGGTCTCTTTCTGATTCTTCATTGGTATTGATAAGTCAGTTGTCCTTGTCGGAATGCGGTATCACCGAGTTTCCAGAGTTCCTAAGAACCCAAAAGCTTATGGTGTCTCTAGACATTTCCAACAACAAGATCAAAGGTCAAGTGCCTGGATGGTTATGGATGCTCCCTGATTTGCAGTACGTGAATCTTTCCAACAACACTTTCATCGGTTTCGAAAGAATAACTAAACTTGGACTCTCCTCTGTCCAAGAACCAACTATAAGCAAGTTCTTTGGCTCCAACAACAATTTCACGGGCAAGATTCCATCTCTCATATGTGAGTTGCCTTATCTCAGCACTCTTGATTTGTCTAACAACAAATTCAATGGTTCAATCCCTAGCTGTACGGGATATCTTCAAGCTCCATATCTTCAAGCTCTAAATCTTCGAAATAATCGTCTTAGTGGAGGCCTTCCAAAGAATTTATTTGAAAGTCTAATTTCCCTTGATGTTGGCTATAACCAACTAGTGGGAAAGCTTCCAAGATCGTTGACTCATATATCTTCTCTTGAAGTTCTGAATGTGGAGAGCAACAGAATCATTGATACGTTTCCTTTCTGGTTGAGTTCTCTACAAGAGCTACAAGTTCTAGTCCTTCGCTCCAATGCATTTTATGGACCGATAGAGCAAACACAGTTTTCTAAGTTGCAAATCATCGACATATCCGGTAATCAATTCAATGGTACGTTGCCACCAAATTTCTTTGTCAATTGGACTGCAATGTTCTCACTGGAAAGAAATGAAGATCAATCTAATGTAGAGACCATGCCATTGTCTGAGTCAAAGTACATGAGTACAGACTATTACTACTTTGTGTCAATGGTTTTGATATACAAAGGTGTAGAGATGGAGCTGGTACGTGTCCTAAAAATCTTTACGGCGATCAACTTTTCGGGAAACAAATTTGAAGGAAAGATTCCAAAATTCCATTGGTCTATTAAAAGAGCTTCATGTGCTCAACTTGTCAAACAATGCTTTCACTGGCCACATCCCATCAACTATGGGGAACCTCACCGCTCTTGAGTCACTGGACGTTTCCCAAAACAAGCTTTCAGGAGAAATTCCACAAGAGTTAGGGAAACTCTCGTACCTTGCGTACATGAACTTCTCACATAACCAGCTGGTTGGTCTATTACCAGGGGGCACTCAGTTTCAAACACAGAATTGCTCTTCCTTCGCGGATAACCAGGGACTTTTTGGCCCTTCACTTGAGAAAGTTTGTGAAGATATCCACGCGAAAACATCACAACCAGGTGAAACGCCAGAGCAAGAGGAAGAGGAAGATGAAGAAGAGGTCTTGAATTGGATAGCAGCTGCAATAGGATCCATACTTGGTACTGCATTTGGATTGACATTTGGTACTGCATACTATTTTCCTACAAACCAGATTGGTTCATGATTCCTTTTATATTTTGTGGACCTAATTTTGTTTCAAATAAAGGTAAAATGGTCATTAAAAATTAAAAGAGGGCAAACTTAAAAATGGACTCTCAAAGGAGGCATTTTTGAGAAGGGGTATTGAAAAAGGGGCATTTTTAACAATTTCTCTTTAAAAAACCAGGAATTTAATAAATATTTATTTAGAAGCTTTCTTAATTTGAAAATTTAAAATATTTAATTTTGGTAAGTTTAATTAATATTTATATATATTTTGTATTCGATTTTTGAGTAATAAGAATAAGTAATATAAGTAATATATATAAATAAGAGTGTTTGGCAAAGAAAATAGTAGAATTAAAAAACAACATTGAGATTAACTGTGAGCTTCACACATAAGCATCAAAAATATCTTTTAATATAAAGATGATATATATAACTAGTAGTTTTAAAAACTTTTAATACATTATATAATCCATGATGCATTCTCCTAGATTTTTATCAATAAAATATATGTAATAAAAATCAAATTGATTATCTTACAATTCTGAAATTCATGCAAAATAAGTTGAATTAGTCTTTAAGAAATAAAAGGTTAGGATCCACATCAATTAGACCCTTCTAAGTATCATACATGTATTTGAAGTTTGAACTCTCAAAATTTAGATATCGAACTTAGCCATGTATTTCAGTTAGTTAGCCAATTTTAATTTTGTTATCTGTATAATTTTCATGTTTATATAGATTATGTCAAAAACTGTAAAATACTTAACCATATTGTTTTGATCTTATAATTAAACATATATCGCTTTTAGTTGGCATGTTATTACTAGATTCATAACTCATTCTCTTATTAGAAGTTTAGAACAAAAATTTCTTATGCATACGTCAAATGGATTTGAAATAAAAAAAAATAGTGAATCAAAAATTCAAGATCAGTTGGAATATCCTTTTTAGTTTTGGTGGTAAATTCAATGTGCGTTTATTTTATTGGTCAACCATTCTTTTCGGCACTAAACTCTCATTTGACCATTCTTGGTTGATGTTTTTTTTTTTTAAGATTTAACTAAAGCCATAAACAGATTACTTGATAAATAAAGGTAAAATGTTTTCCACAAACAAAAAGTATAAATTTCACACTGATTACTTTATTACTCCAAAAATTATATTTTTTCCTACAAAAATGAATTACTTCATAGGTTTGATAGTGATTATTATTATGAATGCTTGGTTGAATGAAGCTTGCGCGTATATTCAAATAGAAGTTATAAACAACCTCCCTCCTTGTACAATTCTCGATGTTCATTGTCGTAGCAAGAACCCAAACGCAGATTTCAGAGTTGTACAGTTAAGAAACGCTACCGTTCCAAAGAAATTTTTATTCGAAGAAGGTATCGTCTATTATAAAAAGAGAGAAATTTATTGTCGTTTATCGTATAAGGATACATTCGAAAACTATTATGATATTCCAGTACACAGAGCCGCATCTCGTTATCGATGTGGCCAGCTACGTCGATGGATTGCAAAAAGAGATGGAATTTACTTTACAAAAAATCATGATAAACCACCGGGATTTGTATTTCCATGGTTGGTGAAGCTCCCTAATTAATAACCCTCCTAAATAATAAAGCATTATAAACCATCAACCGCTTCTTTTATAGAACTAACTAATATTAATGTAAGATATCTTTGTGTTTCATGTCGTATGAACTAAGTCATAAGAGCTAGATAACCGTTCTAATTTTGTGTCAGAGCATTGTAATAAAATTATGAGTTCATCTCATATATATATATACTAGATAAGGACCCGTCCGATGGACGGGTTTATTTTTATTAAAATTAAAATTAAATTTAACAAAAAATTAATTAACAACGTTGTAAGTAAAAAATTTCTTTCAAAAGTAAAAATAATATTTACTTTTTCGCGGTTGCATTGTTTTTTTAACCACTAAAATTATTAATTCAAAATTATTTCGAATGAAAGATATATCACATAACAATAATTCATGGTATACTTATATGAAGAACAAAAATTAAAAATATTCATCATAAAGTTGGTGAATAAAACCGAAGTGATGTTTAATTAGACACGTTAAAAATATAAAGATGATAAATCGACTAAATTCTTTAGCCTTCCAAGCTAACGTTGCGGGTTCGATTCCTATATACTCGATTGCAATAACTTTATGATCAATCAATAAAAAATTGATAAATTCAATAAATTATAAGCACGATGATATATGAATCTTATATAATTCATATATGAACATAGAAATTGAAATAAACAATTTTGAAATAATATAATTAAATGCAAAATATCAAAAAGAAAAAAGAAGCATATATGTTTCTTACATATTTAAGAATTTCAAATAAAACAATATAAAACTTTACTTAAAATCATCACATATTTCTAATTAGAAAATAATATTGATATAAATAATGTAAATTTGTAATTTAAATCATGACACATGTCGCAATCTTAAATCATTAGAACTATGATATATTATAAATCTTATATAATTTAAACTGAATGTAGAAACCAAAATAAACAATTTAAAGATACAACAGTTAAACTAAAAAAAAAATTATAAACACGATGATATATGAATCTTTGATAATTAAAATATGAAAAGAAAAATTGAAATAAACAATCTAATTATACTACAATCATAATTGAGGACAAAAAAACAGTTAAGTAAAAAAATATTATAAAATAGAAAAAAAAAAAATTGATCTCACATATTTCTAATTGAAAAAATAAACTCAAATAAATAATATGAGGATTAGTTTAAGGGGAAATTGTTAAAAATACTCTTTTTGGTGTGCCCCTTTTCAAAAATGCCCCTTTTAGATGTCCATTTTCAAAAATGTCCTTTTTTAAATCTAAAATTTTTATAAAGTTTTATTAGGTTTATAAGGTACTTATGGATTGTAACTACTACTTGAAGACTCGATCCAAGTATTTATAAGGTTTTATAAGATGTTTTTAAAGGTTTTACAAGTTATTTTAAAGGACTCTGGCCAAGTCTGGAGATAGACCAGGAAAGACATCTTCAAACCTGCCCGCTGACACTAGTACTGCTATAAGTAATGCAACTATGAATCTCATGGAGAGTTCGATCCTTGCTCAGGATGAACGCTGGCGGCATGCTTAACACATGCAAGTCGGCCTCTCCTCGTTCCGCCTGCTGGCCTATTGGGATAGCAGCCTGCGGGCTTTGCCTGCCCATTAGAATAATAATCAAAAATTCCGGCTGAGTTATATCCCTTCCCCCATCAAGAAATAGAACTGACTAATCCTAAGTCAAAGGGTCGAGAAACTCAAGGCCACTATTCTTGAACAACTTGGATATTACAAGATATTTAAAATATTTTAAAGGTTTTTAAAGATATTTAAAATGCATTTATAAGGTATTTATAAAGTATTTATAAGATTTTAGATACATAGAAATGAAGTTTGTGTATGTTTTAATAATATTACATACATATTTGGGTAAATCTTATATTCTTAAGAGCATTTTTTATAAGGTTTTAAAAAAGGTTTTTAAGAGCATTTTTTATAAGGTATTTTTGAAAAATGACATTTTTGCAAAAGCCCCTAGTTTAATTAAATGATCACATATTTCTAATTGGAAAAGATATTGAAATAAATAATATCAAATTTTAAATTAATATATAATAACGTATGTTTCCTTTTTAATAAATTTGCCTGATTTTTTTTCTTGTTTAATTGAAATATAAAAAACGTATAATTTCCTTATTATTATCTTTTGACATTTTAAATTTTTTTTATAGAAATATGAATTATTTACAATTATTCTTATAATTATATTTTACATTTTTAAAATTATTTAAATTTGTAATTACTTTCAATTATCTTCTTTTTTATTTTAAAAAGGAAATTTTTGTTTTACACGTGTCAAAATCTAAGATCGATAGATTTGCCACGTGTCATGATCATATGAGTTATTAACTTTGAAAACCATACTTTATATAATAAGATATATATATCATAGAATTGTAATAAAATTATGAGTTCATTTTATATATCTTATTATATAAAGTATGGTTTTCTAAGTTAATAACTCGCATGATCGTGACACGTGTCAAGTCTATCGATCAGATGTTGACATGTGTCAAAAAATATTTAACTTTCTTCATTAACGAAATAGGAAAACTAAAAAAAAAAGAATATTTACATATACTAATTTATATATCTATTTTTAAAAATTTGTTAACTTTATTTTTCTTAACCAAAAAAATAAAACTAACAATTTCTCTGCACATGTGTTATTGGTCGATTAAATATGGCATGTGTTAATTTTTTTCTATAAAATCATTTAGTATGGATATTAACAAATAAATAATAACAGTTGAAGTTTTAAATAACAATACAAGTTATTTAACATTAATTTAATTGGATAAAATTGTATTTATCATCGTAATTGGATAAAATTGTATTTATTCATTTTATTCGTTAAATGAAAACACAAAGTTTTTACAAAAAATAATGAGCTTATAAAAACGAACGAATATTTGAATATTTGATAAGAAAATTAGTGTGGTTATACTTAATTTTATTTTAAGAATTTTAGTGCATGTAGTCATAATTATAAACTAAAAATATTTGGGGAAATGGCTTATATGATTGAATTTTTGATTACTTAACGAGAATGTTAATATATATATTTTTAATGATTTATTTATTAATTTTAACTTATTTAAAATTAGTTTGCCATGAGGTAAAACTAGCTTATGAGATTACGTTATATAGAAAGCTATATTTTAAACAATGTTTGTTTTCCATAACTTTTGTGGATTTCTATTTTTTATTAAATGTTTGTTAATTGTTAATTATATTTAAATTTTTAATATTAACTAAGATATAAATTTGATATGATATATATACGATTTTGATACAAAATTTATATGATATATATACGATTTTGATACAAAATTATTATTAGCCGTTTATTCATTAAGATGAACTATGAAGACTTAAAATCAAGATTGTGATGTTATAAATAGTTAAATTATATTGCAAAATGGAGAGTGTAAGATTAAAAATTTTTTTTATTAAAAAATACTAAATT